AATACCAGGTCAGATTCAGGTGTTTACATTGCTTGCATTTTAAAAATACATTTAAGAATGTAATAATGAATACCACTGTATTAATTTGTGTCATTTATATCTGCCTGAAGTTAAGATTTAAATTGTGTTAGCAAGCTAAGATGTAATAGACACCTCTATGAATTATGCATTTCCAAATTCTGCTGCATCCTGTGGACAGCGATAAGCCACACAGATAGATTACTACATTTACAGATATACAAAGCAATACCCTCTGTGCCTCTGAGGCCTGTTATTTATCATGTCCCCTTAACAGTTAAAGGTGAGCTATAGCCTGCTTGGCTGTATTAACCTTTGAATATAGTGTAATGAATCACCCTTCTGTCCATCTGTCAGGAAATGAGATTTCCATCAGATTTAAATACTCTGGAAAGACAAAATAAAAATTGCCTGGTATTACACAAGATGCTCTGGGGTATTCACACTGACAAACCCATCCTTTATGGAGGAAATCCTCCCACTCTTTGGTGTGTTGCTGTTGCACTAGTACTATACTGTATATGAGTATATCCACTGATACCTGGATATCAATATTCTCATTATCCCTGGTAAAGTGTAATCTAAAGACAGACTTAAATCCCACATCTGAACTCTGTGCTCTTTCCATCCAAAGCTCCCCCCTCTGATATTTTATGCACTGGGTCCTCTTCCTCTTAGGTCTTCTCCTAGAGGTGGATGTTCCTTGATGCATACTGATATCAACACTGCCCTCTGCATTATTAGGCTGTACATTAAGGGTTCAGCTCAGGGGGCCATGGCACCAGGGGTGAAATACCGCCAGTGCGGCCAGGGCCTGAGACTGTGGGAGGGGCCCAGTGAGGTCCAGTCCTGTGCAATCCACCACCCCCCACCCCCCCCGTGGAATATGGGGCAGTGCAGGGTCCCGGTGTTAGAACACCGGGGCCCACACTGCCGACTGGCGTCTAAGTAAGGGGCGGGTCTTCCTCTCCCGGCCGCGTCCCTAGTAACAGGTGGTGGGAGAGGAGAAGCATGTGTGTCACATGCCCGCCCCTTGCAGTGCACACACAGTCTGGCTCTGGCTCTAGACAGATGTTGGGCTCTGGGACCACTCTGGTTGCATGGTGCATATTGTGGCCTGAACTGGTTTTTAAGAACAACTGGGGGAAATTTAAAAGAAAAAATGTAGCCTGAGAGAAGCTTAAATTTAAATAAAAATGCTATAAAGTAGAGAAGATGGCATGAGACTTTGGTCCACACACAGAACCTGAAACCAAAATGTCTGCATGCTACTCTTCCTTCTTCATACTCCCATAGACTTTACTGTCTGACTAGCTCAGTTATTTGATTTCTATTCATTATTGAGTCTCTCACCAATAAGATTAGGAACGTTGGGAAAGTGTCAATTTCTCATGCCAATTCTGGGTCAGAAATTCAAAATATTGTAGTAGAAAGGTCCATGTGGCAGCCAGACAAGCAGCATTTGCACTAGAAGAACATCAATAGCAACGTTCTTTAATGAAATGTTTAATTTAATGCATATTTGTAGGCAGTTTTGGATAAGGAAGGTTTCGAAACCCTGTAAGATGATTGATTGATTTATGCCATCTGTGTTCTGTAGTGGAGATTTCCCTTAATTACCTGTCCAAAAAACACAACATGAGTCAACATGAAAGGAATTGTCTCTAAAGCAAAGGGAATTATCTTCACATCTGTCACAGGAACAGGTTTCCCTATTAGATTTCTCCTCACCTTTGGTGACTCCAACATTTTGAATTTCCCATCACTTTCTGTTTAAGTGACAATGGTCATCAGGACATATAGGTGAATCTACCCGATGATGACAAACTTAACAGAGGGTCTTACTCTTCCAAAACATAGAAGGGGCATATTTATAAAACAGTGAATATGACATAAACCAAACACTGCAGGAAAATTATTGCAATTAAAGAAAAAAAAATGCACAGGGAATATTCATATGCAGTAAATGTTTAGTGAATGTCACATTCACTGCTTTATAAATATACCCCTTTATCTCCTGTGTGGCTTCTCCTTAGTCTGCCATGGTTAAGCAGATCTTAATCAGGAACATGAAACAGTACAAATTTTCTGCCATGTGTTTCATGTATCAGTAATGATAATGCAGTGAAGGGGTGGGGCATAGACCCACCAAGTCTCCCACTCTCTCCCAGTATTCTTCTAGTTGGGCAGGAACCGACAACTAAGTATTTTGCTTGTCCAGTTTAGGAGATTGACTAATGTACATATAAGAAAATAATTAGGTTATATTAAAAGATCTGAATAGCGCTAACATTTTAAAGGATAGAAAAGTTCTTGTTTGTACTCAAGTTCTTCTTTAAATGAGACTAAAGCAAAATCTAAATAAGTGGGGGGAAAAACATCTTTAGACATTTGTTTCACACTGTACTCTTTAATTCCCAAGAATGCAGTTATGAGATAAAGTTAATTACAAATTAAAGTTAATATTTTGGGCTATATTTTTGCAGAGATCGAGCTTGGTAAGGAACAACGTAGAATGTGGTCAAAGTACATATTCCCTATTTCAAAAGTGGTTTGAGGAAAACAAAATTGCTGAAATAATAAATAATTGAAGAGGCTCATTAAAGCATACCTGTGGGAGTTGCCTTTTGGCTAGCTTTGGGAGTTGGCTTTGGCAGCATACCTGTGGGAGTTGCTTTGGCTAGCTTTGCTGTACAGTACAGCCAGCTAGGCAAGAACAGTGAAGGGTAGCAATATAACAGATGCAATGCTCTTTGTCCTCAGTGGCTCCATGACACATAGGGGGTGATTTACTAACCTAAACACACACACACACCAGGTGTGTGTGATTTTCACACAGCAAAATGTATTTATCAACCAAAAAGTCTCTAAAAGCATATTTCCACTAATGCCATATATGTAAAAATCATGCACATGATGCATATATAATGCTGCTTCACAGTTTAGACAAAAATGGTTAGCTCATGCATTTACATTCCTTGCATTCATCAACGCAAGCAACACAACATAGAGCTAATTTACCCAACATCACCTTGGAATTCCTTCAGGGCTTTGCACAACACACCTGCTGGGTGTGTACACATTACAAAGGTGTTTAGATTCCACCCATAGATCATGCTGGGAGGGAACACACTGCAGAGGTGTATACACGTTTGTGGTGTGTTTATAAGGTTAGTAAATCAACCCCATAGAGTCCAGCTTCTGTGAGTCTGCAGGATTCTTACCAGCATATGAGGCTTATATGAAAACTGTCCCTTAAGGGTGTTTAGTATAAATTAAGCCATCATTAGTGTGATATTGAAACAGCATACGTCCAGAATATTTAGTCAAGTTAATCCAGCTCAACATCTGAACTCTCACTCCCAAATCTGTAAAAAATATCTACGAAAAGAAGACACTGGAGAGGTTATCTAGACTTAATTTTGACTTAATAAATAATGGATAGCCTTATGCAATAAACTTCAAAGGGCTTTCATGGGCTTAGTAATGCTTCACACACCTTTATATTATTACAATATAGTTATTTTATCACCAGAATAAAGTGACTACAAAATTACTTTAGGCATAGCGAACACTCAGATGATGTAGTAAATCCATTATTTAGCTAGATGCTAATGTAGCTATAATTACAACAGTTATACAGTCAACCTCCAGTGTTCAGGTACCTATTTGCTGCAGGAATCCTTTGGTGTGTAGGGTGAAGGATGTGTATGTGAATACAAAGAGAGATAGAGCTTTTGCATCCCCTTACCTACTACATCACAGTTCTGAGTGCCTGAGCAACCTATTAACAATACCGACTCAAAAGTCAAGTTAGAAATAAACATCTTTTGGTATCTGCTCTGCAAAGTTTGCCTGCTAGGAACATGTTACAGGCTAATATAAGCAGACCTTATGTTTCTGAATTTTTTTCTATCATAGGCTCTTTATGCGTTCTGAATGGTCAGTAGAATTTTTTTGTAAGAATGTTGTCCTTATAATTTAATGTGTCAGGCCTCTGCAGAGAAATCTCTGCTTCAACACTGAGAGCAAGGGTCATCATCTAAGGCATTCTGTCAGGGGAATGCTTTTCTACCTAAGCTTTGGCTGTGTTCTAAAGAAAATGTAACTGTAAGACTTTTCACACCTTTTGATGCGCCTGGAATGCATGTAGCTGTTTTAAACTGAAAGTTCAATTGGACTTTAAGCAGCACTGTAATGTTTTGCATTTTTCCAATGATATAAAAGGAAATACATAGTAGTTTTAAAGGGAGATTAATCTTACCCTGTATGTATAGAACAGTTTTGCAAAGTTATGACAATGTAAATAGTTTCATTTTTCTGAAAATGTTACGGCATAATATGTACAGTAGTTAATATGGAAAACACTTTTTAGATAGAGGTCAGGTAAGAGTATTTTTTTACTTGACTCCAGTTAGAGGCTTATATAAATGAAAAGATCAAGAACTCACCAAAGCTATGGTGTGCTGAATAATCAGCTTAGCAATCCTGACATTGTTCTAGCAAGTTCAGGACCTCAATGTCATCCACAATCCATTTATCATAATACATTCAGGGGCTATGGGTGGAGATATGCAAATAAGCATCTTTACAGTTTTTCACCTTTCTTTCTTTTTATTATGGATACGGATAGCACAGGTCACAAATTTACAAATGTAATGAATTCAAAAAAACAGCTTAAATAGTCTCTAATCCAAAGAGACTTGACCTTAGATGGACAGCACTCAGAGTGATGGAGCTGTGAAATCAAAGGAGAGAATATCATTAAAAATAGGAGCCTTATATTATCCACAACGATTGAAATCAGCTTTAATAATTTATTTTGATTAAAGGACTGATTTGCATAATTGTTGCACACGTTGACGAGGTCATCATGGTAAACGCAGCTAAACATTATTTAAATGAACGTCCGGAAAAAGCACAGTAGGCTTTACTGTCTTTGTCTTCACCTTACATTTTCGTGCTCAGACTTTCATTCTTCACAATTGTACCTATAAACAAAAGGCATTCTGTGGAAATTCTGAGTATCATGCATGAAAGAGAGTGCCTTGAAATAATTTGTTTTCCACAATGTCTTGGAGCTTGTTCTCAGCGACACTTTTCTTGCAGCCTTGGTGGGTCTCTGTTGAGTGCCATTCTGCCGTCTGGGAGCCTATCTCTGCAGAAAGTTGCAGATAGTGTTCCTTTAAACCACATATGCAATACAGCTGCCCATGCAGACTGGTACACTTGAATCTGATCAGAAACTAGGAGAAAGTCCTTTATCTATTCTTATTCTGTACAGCCTTCTTTTTTATATACGACAACCCATACAGGATTAATCATAACAATTATGGGTAAAAAAATATAACTCCAACCTACAACATTTTGCAATACAGGCTAAGGTACCCATAAGGATGTAATGCCCTGTTTATGATACATTTTATTAAAAAAAAGACTGTGTGCTGATACCAGCATCAGAAAAAAACTAGATTGGCTAAACAAGAATTTTTAAAGCCTAGTTATTCTCTGTGGTTGGTGCAGAGATAATAGGAAACATCATATTACACATAACATGTGTATTTGTTTAGTCAGCCACAAATGAAATATATAGGGACCTTTAAGTGTTCTTGTGAGCTATAGTTTCCTCTAGGTGTACTTGTGCCTTGAGGTATGTACCTTTCCTTATGTACCTATACAAAAGTATAACAGTATGTAAACAATTTGGAATAACTAGCTCTTTATTATAAGTGCATTACACTAGCTGTGCTGTATGTACAGTTAGCCATGGGGTATACATCAATTATTTGAATGGTCCCTTCAAATATCCTAAAATTATGAATGAGCCCCTATTTTTTGTGAAAATTGATATATTAGGAGATACAGTATATGCCTTCTGTTCTAAGAAGACTCCACTGTCCTTTAGGTACCTACAGTATTATTATTTTGTATTCCTAATGGTTGGCAGTCAGATCATTACTTTATGTTATGAACAAATTATAT